GGTGTTTTTATTAACGATCTTACTAAGTTTACTATCAGTAGAAAAGTGTTTTTAAATTAAATTTTTGTCCTAGCTTATTGCTTATTGCTAACCATATATATATATATATATATATATATATATATATATATATATATATATATATATATTTGGGCAAATTTTTGGGCAAGCAGTTTGTACGATGTGCCCGTATTCCGTCGTGTGTGTGAGTGTATGTGTTTATATGTGTGTGCTGTAATATTTATTTTTTTTTTAGCCATATTGTTTAAAGTTTCACCTGCAAACAAGTCAATGCAGGATATTCTTTATTTATTCGTCTCTTTGCATATTCGTTCTCTTTTCAGAAATATCTTCTGCTTCATGACTCAAAACACTTAAATGGTTCTATAAACATATATAAATAGAATATATATATATATATATATATATATATATATATATATATATATATATATATATATTATATTATAATTATTATAATGGATACGCATATTTGAAATTCTTTCTTTTTGTGCCTTTTTTTTTTTGCAACCACTTTCTTTCTATCTTTTTTTTTTTCATTTTTCATTTCTTCACTAACTTTTCCTTTTTGACATCTATTTTTCCCTTTGACATCTTTTTCATTCATTTCTCGCTTCTCCCTTTCATTTTTCATCTTTTTTCATTCTTTCCAAAATCCCCTTTTTATAGTCATTTTCTCTCTTTCTTTTTTTTAATTTTCATTTCTTTATTAAAGGTTTCTTTATCTTTTTCCACCTTTTTCTTTCTTTTTCCCTCTTTGTTCGTTTCTTTCTTTCTTTCTTTCTTTCAGTTGTGCTTCTTTTGCATGCATTTCCTTTCACTGCTTCTCGACTTTTATCGTCGTCGTCCTCTTTTTCTTTCAATTCTCTTTCTGCCATGTGTGCACTTTTCTTTCATACCGTCAATGAAAATTCTACATTCAACAGATTTTAAAGATACACACAATATATTGTTACTTGAAAATACTTTTTTTTCTCTCTTTATTTTCTTTCTTTTCTTTCTTTCTTTCTTTCTTTCTTTCTTTCTTTCTTTCTTTCTATATATCTATCTATCTATCTATCTATCTATCTATCTTTCTTTCTTTCTTTCACTTCAATTAAATTAATTTTTATTTTCATTCTTCCCATTAATGATGTCTCATTTTTGTTACGTTTTTTTTTCGTTTTTTTAAGTAAATTTTTGTATCCTTTTTAATTCTTTCCTTATCACTTTCTTTTCCCTTTGTCATTTTTTTCCTTTCTTTCTGTTTCTTTGTTTTTTCTTTCTTTCCAAATTCTACTTTTTATTGTCATTTTCTCTCTTTTTTTCATTTTTCATTTCTTCATTAACGCTTTCTTTTCCTTTTGCAACTTCTTTCTTTCTTCCTTTCTTTGAAAATTATTCGTTTTAGTCCTTCTATATCTTCTTTCTTTCGTTGATTCTTTTCAGAAAATTTTTGATTTTTAATTCCTATCGTTAATGCTCTTTTTATTTCACAACATTTTCTTTCTTTCTTTCTTTCTTTCTTTCTTTCTTTCTTTCTTTCTTTCTTTCTTTCTTTCTTTCCAAAGTCTACTTTTTATTGCCATTTTCTCTTTTTCTTTCATTTTTCATTTCTCCATTAACTCTTTCTTTTCCTTTTGCAATTTCTTTCTTTCTTTTTTTATTTCTTTCTTTGCAAAGTATTCGTGTTAGTCCTTCTATATCTTCATTCTTTCTTTCATTCTTTCTTTTCAAAAAATCTTTCATTTTTAATTACTATCGTTAATGTTCTTTTTATTTCACAACATTTTCTTTCTTTTTTCTTTCTTTCTTTCTTTCTTTCTATTCAATTAAATATTTTTTTCATTTTCATTTCTCCCATTACCGCTGAGCATGGGCCCATCTGCGTGGTATCATGGTTAGCAAACATGTCTCGCTAGATCAATTACCTACTGGGAAGTAATTTCGATTCTCACTACTTGCCCCATACTTTCGGCCTTGTGCCATCTCTAAGCTTTGCCTAGAAAATAACCATTAATTATGCCTCATTTTTGTTACGTTTCTTTTTTATTATTTTTAACTAATTTTTTGTCTCATTTTAATTCTTTCATTAACGCTTTCTCTTCTTTTGCAAGTTTTTTCTTTCTTTTATTTTTTCTTTCTTTCTTTCATTCTTTCTTTCCTTCCACAGACTTCATTTTGTTACTATTTTTACAGGCTTAAAATCTTTTTTTCTTTTCAAGGAAATTTTCCTGTTGATGCTTTTTTTCTTCTTTCAAAATCACTTTCTTTCTTTTATTGTTTCATTTTTTCTTTTAAAGGAAATCTTTCATTTTTAATTCCTCCGTTATTGCCTTTTACTTTTACAAGCACTTTCTATCTTTTTTTTTATATTTTTCATTTCTTCACTAAGACATTCTTCTTCCTTTGTCATCTTTTTCTTTCTTTCTTTCTTTTTCTTTCTTTCTTTCTTTCTTTCTTTCCGTTTTTCATTCTGTCGAAAATCTTCCTTTTATAGCCATTTTCTTTCATTCCTTTTCCTTTTTCATTAACCCTTTCTTTTTTCTTTGTCATTTTTCCTTTCTTTCTCGCTTGCTTCCTTTCATTCTTTCTTTCTTTTTCATTCTTTCCTAATACTCCCTTTTATTGCCATTTTCTCACTTTCTTTTTTCATTTTTCATTTCTTCATTAACACTTTCTTTTATTTTTGCCACATTCTTTCTTTCTTTCCTTTTTCTTTCTTTCTTTCTTTCTTTCTTTCTTTCTTTCTTTCTTTCTTTGCAAAGTATTCTTTTTAGTCGTTTGCTATCTTTGTTCTTTCTTTCTTTCATTCTTTCTTTTCAGGAAAATCTTTGATTGTTCATGCAATTGTTAATGATCTTTTTATTTCACAATAACTTTCTTTCTTTCTTTCTTTTTTATTCTTTCCAAAATCTTCGTATAGACATTTTGTTTCTTTCTTTTTCATTTTTCGTTTCTTCATTAACGTTTTCTTTTCCTTTTACCAGCTATTTCTATCTTTCTTTCTTTCTTTCTTTCTTTCTTTCTTTCTTTCTTTCTTTCTTTCTTTCTTTCATTCTTTCATTCTTTCTTTCTTTCATTCTTTCTTTCTTTTCAACTCTTTACATTTCTTATATAATACATTCCCGGACATCCCCTCTTCATATCTCGTGATGTTATTGCATCTTTAAATAATCTATTTTTTCTCTTTTCTTTATTTCTCTAGAAATTTGACTCTAGTTTAATCAAAATTTCTATCAATGCCATTTCCTTCCATCATCTAACGGTAGACAGAAGTGCGGTGTAGTCAAATCAAAATTTGGTCAAAGGTCTGCAATGTCTTGTTTATCCAAACTCCAAACCAGACCTAAGCTTAGAAATAAAAAATAAACAAATATAAAATCCGTTTATTAAAAATTTATTTGGACATTTTATTGTTAAAACTGATGTAACAATTTCTTTCTTTCTTTTTCAGCGTTGTTTGTATCAGCCAATCCATTTTTTTTGCTCTTCAATAATTTTTTCTCCAATGGCCTCTCTTCCTTTCTTCTTTTATTTTCCTTTTTTACTTCATTCTACAAATCTTTATTTTTCTTCTTATAAACATCTTCTGAAGTAAATATACTTTGTACATTTAACTGCAGGTTGAAGTAGAATTATTTGAGGAAGCATTTAGGCTTAAAAATATGCTATCGTATGTTACCTGGTGTCAGTTCTAACAAATTCAAAACATTGACTGTTAGAAAACGTACTTTTGGAATAAAAAAGATACAAAATTCTCATCAATGATACTAAAAAATAAATATACAAACCGCGACTAAAATTTTAGCTTGAAGACAATGTTTACTAAATGAGGGGTTATAAAACGGAAAAAAGATTTTAGGGACCCGCTCTTTGCACTATTTTAATAGCATTGTGTATTTTTCTAGATTTATTTCTATAACTGTTTCTTTATTTTCTCCAGTGTAATTTTTTTCTTTCTTTTATAGCATATTTTATCTTACTCTCTTTCTTCCTTTCTTTCTTTTTTGCAAAAAAGTTTCTTCTTTGTTTCTTTATTTATTTCCAACATTTATAACCAATTTCTTTCTACCTCCCCAATAAGTTCTTTTCCTTCTTTTCATTTCAAAGTCTTCTCTTTATATTCGATTTCTCCCACGTTAATGTATTCCTTTTCTTTCTGTTGATCTTTCCTTTCCATTTGTATGTATTTCTTTACCTAATAGCAGCTCCACACGTCCTTCTACTAAAACCCTTTTCCTAAATCACTCTTCTGCATCGTTTGCTCAAATAAGAGATTCCCCTATGGCATCATCTTTGTGTTTACCAGTTGAAGTCCTGACGTTCAGGCGTTATATGAAGCAGGACTTTGTAGTCCATAAGGAATTTTCACTAACATCCTGGTATTAATTACTGGTAAATTCCACTGGTATTTCCCTAAACGAATTTTCAAGAAGCAATTTCCCTGAACTTAAATCGATATTTATGAATATATCTGTGTACAAAAGTAGGCAATAACAATAATTTTCATCTGTTACAAATATATATATAAAAGTTTTATTGAAAATGTACATATAAAAAAAATTACAGGTAATAGATCCGTTTGTATATATTCCAGGTCTATCCTAATAATATCAAATATTAAAACTGATCCACAAAGAGAGATCAATGTATTTATAACAGAGCATATAAATTACAGAGAAAAATACAAATTTACCTCATTTGGGTATAGTCTTTTTCAACCATCGCTAATTACATTAGTCTTATTCAACCCATGATGGATGGAATATATATATATATATATATATATATATATATATATATATATATATATATATATATATACTCCACTTTAAACTAGGCCTTGTGCCACATCTTGCTGCGTGGGGCAGCGGGTAAATTATGTATATTTCTAACGAATCAATGAATTATGTGATTAATATTATTTCTTATTTCTCCAAAAGTTATTTGGTGGAGATTTGATAAAAAGCGGATCTGATGGAAGTTTCTCCTTCACA